TGCCGGCTTTATTTGCTTGCTGATGAATTTAGGTTCATCGGTGAAGGATTTGAATGAAAGTAGTCCTAGCGAAGGCCGCTGAAATCAGCAGGGCGCGCCCCCTCCAAAGGTCTTTCAATCAGATTGCCTTCATCCGAGTCATGGCACCAAATTTGTTATAAGTTGCCCCCTTAATTAATTTTCAGAGAGCATTGCATTAATAATAGAAAGGAATTTATTGAGTAAGCAAAAGCAAGCAAAACAGCGCTGGGTGGCCGGGGAGTCTCGGCTCCACCAACGGCGCGCACCTCACCCCCGCCAGGGTCCCTTTTTATATCTTGGTAATTCCAGGGATTACGCAGCACATCCTGGTATATTCTGCGACTGCGCGCACTGTTGCTAGGGGTCGTCTCTGTCCCTCTGGTGGTTGTGAAGATGAAGGCCGTAGTCTTCCTCGGCGTTGTGGTTCAACTTCTTTTTTTTATTTGGTCATGTTGGCCCAGCGTGAGACAGGAAGGCAGGATGTTGATACACTAGGTTAGCAACTTATCAGGAGATGGTTACATGAGCTTTGCAGCAGGGTCTTTAAACAAAAGAGGCAACTGAGATGCAGAAGGAGAGAAGAGGGGGGGGGTTTCTCTTTTTTGTTACATTAAGCAAAAGAATTTTCATAGTGTCTAGCCAAGCATTATACAGCTCCTTACTTCAGCAGGGAGTTTTCACAACTCCCGTTCCTCAAACAGAACTCCCTGTTTTTATAATACAAAAGACAATGAACAAACATTTTTTGTGTATTACACTCGGAGGCCACCTCCAGGCTGGAGCTGGTGTCCTGGGTGTCCTGCAGAAGGGCTGCCCCCCTGCTAACCCGGCCTCTCACCCCTTGCAGAGGTCCCGAAGCTGAGGGAGCACATCCGCAGGTTTTACACCGAGCAGAAGAGGAACAAGCTGCTGAACTACACGACAGAGGCTATGGTCATTTTCTCACTGATCTGGACTCTCCCGTCCAACAACCATGCTCAGGTTTGTCCAGAGCAGCTTTTGGGAGCATCGCTGTTTATTCTTTCCCGACAGGCTCTTTCCCTTTCGAGCAGGCAATTCACATCACACATTTCCAGCACGACACGTCCACAACCTGCGGGCAAAACATCTCGCAGGGGGCTGACAAATGCGTCGAGGCACCGCAGCCCAAAATATCCACAGCCTGAGCTCATCTCCTGCAGCCCCTCCCCAGCCAGGAGAGCCCCGGGCTGTCCTTTCCCTGTCCCCCGGGCAGAGGGGACAGTTCTGGTGCAGGTCTGCCTGAGCAGTGACCCTACACTGGGGAAAGCAGCCAGGGAACTGGGCAGCACTGGTGGCAGTGGTTGGGGCAGGTGGGAAGCTGGTGGGATTATTTATGGCCCTATTTATGTTTGCTTCCAGCACAATGTTTTCAGTGATTATTTTTTCCCCTCTCTTGTCCATTGATTTCAGTCTCAGCTTGCGAAAAAAAATTACTTGAAGGATTTCATTACACAGAAGATCGCTGACTTGGAGAATGACATCCAGAAATGCTTTGCACCAATCGAACAGCCTCAGGGAAGGCGTAGACGAAGCAAAGAAGTCATACAATAAAACTATCTCCAGTCTCAAGGGTGGGTGTCAAGCGGGGTTTTTGCAATCCCATAACTAATTGGTTTGGGAAAAAGCCCCAGAGGTCTGCCTGTGCATGAGGGCTGGTGGCTGCTTGAACCACCAAGGACAATTTAAAGGACAAAGAGACCTGCTGGGCTGGGTGGCATCAGTGCAATGGAAGGGACTGTGCTAGCCCTGGGGGCTAGCAGTGTCCTGGGGGCTGCAGATGTGCGGGGCACGGTTTGCTTTTTCCTTTCTGTTGCCTGGAGCCTGGCTGCAAACAGCAGCACTTGGAAGCACTTTGGATGCTGGTCCTTGGGGGTGCAAGGAACAGGGACATGAGCACAAGCCCTGCCGCAGCATTGCTCGGGGGTGGCGTAGCCAAAAGTTGGCCTCCAGCAAGGGGAAGCCCAAGTCGGCAGATTGGCAGCTCGGGCAGCGACCTGGAAGTCGTGGAAATGCCCTACCTGGTGAAACGAGCTAAAACATTGCAAAAATCTCTGGGTGGGGACTTGGCCAGCTGCCTCCCAGCCAAGCAAAACCACCCAAAAAAAATAAACAACCTCCTCTGCCCCAGGGTGGTAGGAAGGAGCTGCCTGGAAAGGAGGCCTCAGCAGCGGCTGCTGGGCCGGCTCGAGGTTCCTTTGGTCCAACGCAGCCCCAGCCTCCAAAAATTTAGCTGGAAACCCCATCCTTCCCTCCCTGCAAGTTTGCTCCTGAGCTGTTTTCGTGGCCTCACGGCCTGCGCCTCCCGTCCCGCAGCGCAGCCACGGGCACCAGGGCTACCACCGCACCCTGAAGGCCGTGTGCCTGAAGAAGGGGGCCTACGCCTCCCGCACCTTCCTCAGGATCGACATCAACGACGCCCTGGCGCAGCCCATCTACAGGAAAATCGACCCCAGCTTCGGGAGGTGTTCAGGTGAGGGGCCAGGCAGGGCCCTGGGGGTGCAGCAGGGGGGCCGAGCAGCTCCTTGCTGCTGGGGATTTGTCTCTCTGCTTCCCACCCACCTCCTCTTTTGGGACCTTTCAACCTCCCCAAGCAGCCTGCTCCCAAAGCCTTGCACTGCGAAACCTCTCCAAATGTCCAACCCCGCTCTGCGACATAGGTTGAACCTCCCTTTTTTGTGTATTATTTTGTTTATGGGAAGCAGTTTAATAGGAAAACAGGGCAGGCTGTGGTGTCAGGACAAGTGCACCGAGCTGCTCCTCGCTTAGCCTTGATCAGCATCATTTTTTTCCCCCTTTCTCCCTATTTTTGCCTTGCTTGTTCCTCTCCATCTCTCTTGATCCCTTTCTCTGCCCCAGTCACCTCCCAAACAAATCACTCGCCCCAAACACATTTTTCCCAGAGATCCCAGTTCTGCTACATGCATATCCAAACTCGATATTTGCTATCTTCTCCTGTGATTCCTTGTCCTTGTCGCAGATACGGGTACCTGGCCAGAGCCACCTTGCAGGACTTGCTCTGTGATGGTCCCTCAGGCTCCCTTGTGGTCCCCAGAGGAGTTTGTCCACCCCCCTCAGCCACACGTGTAGCTTCATCTGCTCTCAGACCCTCAGCAGCTTCTCCCCCCTCTGTGTATTACGTTGAGCAGTTCCTCCTGCCGTGCCCACATATCCAAACAGGGTCAGAAAGCAAAGCCATCAGAAGGTGAAAAAGCAGCAAAGAGAGCTGAAAGAAAGACAAGTTTTTACTCGGTTGTTTCCTTAATGTGACAACCCTGTGCCTCCTGTAGCTGCTTGATCGTGGAGCAGGGATGTGCCATGGGCACCCCGCAACCTCGGCCCGTCTCATGCTGCTTGCTGACGTTGGATAACCCTGAAGTGGGGACTGAACATCACACCCCGAGCACTGTGTCCTGGAGGAGAGCAGCTCATGCTGCTCCTGCAGGACCAGGAGGGCTTCCTCCAGCCAAGGTGGCATTTACATCATCGGGTTTATGAAGGGAAAACCCATTGCGTGCAGCATTTGTTCTGTTCCAAATAAAATAGCCCACATCCTCAGTCTGGACTAGCTAAAGGCGAAGGAAGCCTGGAAACCGTGCTGCTTTGCTTGCTTTGCCCTTCCCTGTGGGTCTGTGGCTTGGGATGGACGTCCTGACCCTGCTGGGTGGGGAGGATCCGTCTTTGGCTTTGTCCTTCCCGATGAATTTCCTGCCCTGCAGGATCCAGATGAGCACCCGTTCCACACTGAAAATCTGCCTGGACGCCTTCAAAAACGCCGTGCAGCAGAAACTGCAGGAAGTTGGTATGCAACTGGTGGCTGACAGCAACCAGCTCCATTCCTCAAGCAGGAGGTACGCTCACTCGAAGGGGGCTGTGCGAGCAGGAACGAGCAATGGGAGAAGGAAAGGGTAAAAGCACGGCCTCCGTGGGGCCTGGGGAGGAGGTTAGCGACACCCTCATATTTAGGCCATCATTCTGAAGATTTTTATTCTGAAGTTGTTAGCTGAGTTTTGTTTGTAGGACTGAAGCACCGGCGGGCAAACATTTGAACTTACTCCTGCAGACAGACTTCATCGTCGCTGAGGCTGAAAATTCATCCTGCAGAGGAAAGCAGAAATCTACCAGTCCCTTGCAGCGTCCATTCAAAACGACCTGCTGCCTTGCTATGAAGGTAAGACCAGACACCTCGTTTTTTTCCTCTTTGTCCCTGGAGGTTTTGATTTTCGTAGAATAACCCCAGTGAGGGCTCAGCAGAAGGGCCCAGTCTTACCACCTACCTGTAGAAAGGCTGCAAAGAAATCTATGGGGCAAAAGGATTATCTGTTATTTGGTCATCGACTCATGGAGATTTCTGAAATCCAAAGTAGGATCATGCTCAAATAGAGAAAATTCCTTCCCTGATTTACTCTATTTTCTATATTTTTTGTAAATCATGGATATTTTCTAGCAGTAAATCATTCTTATTAGACTGACTGCCTCTGAAGGAAGGAGAGGAAGGATGCTAAAGCAACAAGCTGCTGAATCTGATTTTGGTTTTTCCTTCCTTTCCTATCAGTAGGTGGCACAGTCAGAAAGCGAAACAGTTCAAAACCCCAAATCCAGAAGTTGCTCGCGTTGGCTTTGGGAAGACACCTTAATTCCCTGGGGTAGTTAGTTGTGGAAATGCACTGCTGGGCCCAAAGCAGGGAGGTGTCCTGGGGACGGGCCACCCAACAGAGCTCTCCTCACAGCCAGCTGCTCTTTCTCTGACCTCTGGAAACATTCGTGGGGCACGGGGAAAAAAATACGGAGAGGAAAATAACGAGCTCCTGTTGGGGAACATCCCTGTTTAATTAGTGCCTGCGAAACATGCAGGAAAATGGGCTTGGGCCAGGAGTCAAAAAGGGACAAGTCCTGCCCCTTGTCCCCCACCTGTGTCCTCGCTCTGGATCCCCGTGTGACAGTCCCCTCTTTGCCACAGAGGCGGGCCACGGTAAGAGGAGCACAAGCCTTCCAGCGGATGAAAACCATCCTTAGCACTGGGGTGACGAGAGAGGTGGAGAGAGGAATGTTTGAAAGAGCTGAGGAGAGCATGAAAGGGCACCTCCAGGACATGCAGGTACGTTGGGCGCCTTGGGGACCTCCCTCCAGCCATGGTCAGTGCTTGTGGGTAGGGGACAATGGTCCAAAAAGGATCTTGTGAACGCGTGTGATAACGGGAGGGAATTTCCTTGGGAGATGTTGGCTTCAGCAGGTTCTCCGGCATGGTTTTTTTGGCAGCAGAGCCGCCTCCAGAAGCACAGAGGTGTTTTAACACCATTTATCCATTGCACATCACCACTAGGGACCAAGTTGAGCTCGAGGCACCAATGTGTAGACGCTCCTGTACTGGAGGGGCTGCCTGCAGACTTGTAACTGGTCTAGCAGTTACCTGTAACTGGTAACCACCTCACTCCTCTCCCCACATGAACCACAGTTTGGGTGAAGGGGCTTCGAGGAGCTCAAAGCTGCCGCCTCCACCCCCCGGAGCCATCAGCCCCAGTGGGCTCTCGTGGCTCATTTTACCAGAGAGGCTGTGCTCTGAAAAGCTGTATGGAAATCCTTAATCCTTATCAAAATATCGAGCTGGGCTCTCCTTCTTGTGCACCAGCACCCGCAGCAACGAATTGGCTGGATGGAGGTGGGGGGTGGCTGTCCCTGAGCTTTCCCCGTCCCAGGGTCCCCACGGGCACTGGGAGGGACTGGGGGGCTTCAGCCCTGTCCCCTGCTCATGTGCTTGGCTGCCTGGCGCTTGCAGAAGCAGATCCCCAGGAAGCTGGAGGAGGACTTTTCCAGCGCTCTCGGCTTGGTCTTTTGCCCGTGGGACCAGCTGGACGGCAAGCTGCCAGGTATGGCCGCGAGCACGGCTTTGGGGCTGTTCGTGCAGGTCCTGCACTCCTTCCTCCCCGTTTTGGGGGCACGAGAGGGTCCAGATGCCCAGGCCGCTCTAACAGGCTCCTCTGTTTTGCAGACTTGCAGAGAGAATTTTTTCACCATCATCAACATTCACAAGGCCCTGCAATCAGCCAAAGTCGCTTAGAGAGCCGCGGGAATTGTCTCCGACGATGTGGTTTTATTATTCACGTTGGTGCCTTGTTCTTGTAATAAATGGCTCAGTCCCAAATAGGGTTTCAATCAAAGTTTACAATTTATTAAGGAAATAGAGGTAAGCAAACAACACTGGGTGTGCCGGGAGTCTCCGCTCCACCAAGACGCACACCAGTTACATCAAGCAGCTGGTTTTATGCTCCTAGGCTGATACATATTCATTACTACTTCTAAAAAAACAGGGTTATTATAATTAGTTTCCAAATCCAAACCCTCCTACTAGAGCACGCATATCAGTCTCCAGTGGTCCCTCTGGGGGTCTCTGGGGGTCTCTCATGCTGAAGGCTCATAGTCTTCCTCCCTCTTGTCCTTCTCCTTTGTCCAACTTGGCTGGATGTCAGAGACTTGTGCAGCGTCCCCTGCAACCTTTGTCTTTTAGTCGTCCTTCAGCTTTCCCCTTCTCCTTAATCTCCTGGGCAGATATCAGAGACTTGCACAGTGTCCCCTGCAACAGTCCCAATAGTTAGCAGTTATTCTGAACCCCCTTTGTTCTTATCCCCTATTGACACGAATTGCTGGACCATTCCTTTGCAAGCTACAAGAACTCTATACATTAACCACTCTGTTCTTCTTAGACCTGTGGTTATACAAGGGTATGGAAGACAGAAATCACATTTCATCATACCCCAGCATTGTTCCATACGGACACGAATCAGATGAACACATTTCACATTCTCTTTACTCCGCGGCTTCATGGGGAATCTCCTCTGGTGCTTTTTTTTCCTCTTATAAAAGCATTTCTGAGATATTTTGTATGCGTTTGATGGTGCTATTTAAGTAAGAGACCCGGGCAGTGCCCCTGCCCTGCATGCTGTGCCATGTTCCGCACCCGAGGGGGCTCCAGCTCTGACTCCTCGTGGTGCTGGCAGCCCGGACCATGGAAGTGATGCTCTCCTGGGAGAAGCAGGACCACGGTGCCTGTGTCTGTGCTGAGGTTCTTGAGGTTTCACTGGCTGCTGTGCCTCTGGGCCCCTTCGTGCACGTGGAGATACGTGTGTGTGTTTCACTCCGCCACCCGGTGTGCCTACACCCCAAACGAAGCCCGATTGTACCGACGAGGCTTGTATCTCTTCTGATATTTTGCTAATACCATAAAAATGTTCAAAACAGACTAGTAGATACTTAGTGTGCTCCTACCAAAGCCATGCCTGGGCTAGAAAAGCCATGCCATAGGTTGCCCAGAGAAGCTGTGGGTGCCCCATCCCTGGAGGTGTTCAAGGCCAGGCTGGATGGGGCTTTGGGCAACCCGATCTGGTGGGTGGTGTCCCTGCCCTTAGATGATCTTCGAGATCCTTTCCATCCCAAGCCATTCTGTGAGAAGCAGCAGGGAGAGCTGGGCTCCTTTGGCTGGAGGCAGAGGTGGCTCTGCCACCACTGGGGGCTCAGCGGGAGGACAGAGCCCTTATCTCCTCCGAGATCTCCAAGGAAGGACCAGGGCTGGCTCCAAACTCCAACCAGAAATAAAAGAAACACTTCCCATGAGAGTCATAGAATCATCAGACTGCCCAGGCTGCCCCCAGCCCTATCCAGCCTGGCCTTGGGCACCCCCAGGGCTGGGGCACCCCCAGCTCCTGGGGCAGCCTGAAACTGGAAGGATTTCCTCCTAATGCCTCACCTGAACCTTCCCTCTCTGAGCTTAAAGCCATCACTCCTCGTCATATCAGACGATTTCCTTCCTCAGCCCCTGTTAACCATGACACATGCTACACACACCACAGACAGAAAAAAGCAAAAGACAGACGAAGGCGAGAAGAAAAAATTCCCTGAGTCACAGCAGTCGGTGAGCCATCAAACCCCAGGCACTGTTTGCAGGAAAGCTGCGCCTTGCAGTGGGGTCATGCGTGAACCAGGGCATCCAGAAAGGGAAGGTGCAGAAACTGCCGAGCTCTGCAGGAGGAACAAAGCCAGGATGGGCAGAAAAGGGTAGAAAAAAACGTAAAAACGGGGCTGGTTATCATGTGGTGTGGGGGCAGGACGAAGGGTGATGGCCACAAAATGGAGCCCAGGCAGTTCCGCACCAACAGAAAGATTTTGTTCACGGTGTTAGCAAAGCTTTTGGGGAGCATTTAGTAGTGAGGACAGCGTTTTTATGGTGCCGGAGCCTAGGAAAAGCTCACAGGAGATGGAGAGATCTGGATGCAAAAGCAAAGACAGGAAAAATCTGTGCAAAAGCCTTTGTGGAAAGCCCTCGCCGGGGGCTTTCTGCTTCTAGCTTTAAGGCCTGGAGGCGGCAGGATGAGGCCACGGGCACTGCTGCACCATGACACCGGGCTCTGTCATCTGCCAGACGAGGAGCCCCGGGGCTGCTTGCAGGCTGGGACGGGCTGGGTGAGCCACCCGTCTCCAGGAAAAGGAGCAAAAAAATGCTTCAGGGTACAAGGGTGTGAGCAGGGGGACGGTCACGGAGACGTTACCCACACAGAGAGGAGCCGGGGGCATGAGGAAGCTGGCGGGGGGCCAAAGGGGAAGAGCATGGTAGGGGCAGGACACATGCAGCAGCTTTCATTTCACCATTTTTACGCAGCGGCAGGAGGAAGCCAAAGCATCAAGCTCTGGCTTGTGATTTATTTTATTTTTATTTTTTTTCTGGGAGAAACGTTAGCTTTCCGATAGCTCTGTAGACGAGCCCGTGGCAGCTTCCTCCCTGCCCAAACACAGCCAGATTTCGGCAGTTTTCCTGGAGCACAGGTGAGAAAAGATGCCTGCAGTGGGTGCTGGCCGTGTCCGCCCCTGGGTGCTGGCCGTGCGCGGTGCCAGATGGAGTTGGTCTCAATTAGCCTGATTGGGGTCGCAATAGTCACGGAGGCAAACGCTGGGGGCGAAGCAGGGGCTGCGGGTTGGTGGGGCACTGGCGGTGAGGGGAGGATGTGATAAATGACCTTGCTGGGACAGCTGGCTGCCTGCTGCGGGTCGCACATCGGCGGGTTGATGATTAACCTGCCCCAACGCCGCAGACGAGCACGTGGGGTTTCTTCTTCGAAACCCAGGGCGACCTCTGCACAAGCAAATCGATAAGTGCCCCGGCTGGGCACTGCTTTGATTGCTCGCAGCAGGATGCTGTGCCCAGGAACGGCACGGGGCAGGAGGGTTGGAGCAGGTCTGGCCAGACAGCAGCCCCGGGCAGCTTTAATCCAGCCCGTTTTTAATTTCTGCGGTCCGATGGCAAGGAGGCACCTGGGGAGCGTCTTTCGGGGTGGTGGCAGTGCTGCAAAGCCCTCGTGCAGGGTGTGAGCAGGTGCTGGGCCAGCCCCGAGCTGCCCTTCTTGCAGGGCAGTGCGCATCAAGAAGCGGCACACGCCAGCACCAACCACTACCCCAGGTCGTGCAGCGGCGTGGGTGGCACGAAGCAGGCTGCAAACTTCAAAACTGTTTCCTTTTTACTTCCCCAAGTAGTCCTTGGAGTACAGAAGCGGTCGTAGCCAGGTCAGCTTCCTCGAGGAAAGCAGGAGCGACGGGGCACTGAGGCAGAGTTTGGCCGAGATTGACATGGCAATGCGTCGCGGTGAGCCGCTGTCCCTGCCTTCCCCTCTGCTCCTGAAGGCTTCTGCTGCCCTTCCCTCCCCAGTCCCAGCAGCTCACACCGACCCGGCTTGCTTTCACTTGCTGAGGGTAAAGATTTCCATCTTTAGCTAGATGCCAGGGCCCAGGAAGCCGCAGTTTCTCTTTGAAGCGCGTTCCCTGCTCATCACAGGGGAGCAGGGCTGTGCAAAGGCGTCTCCACCCGAACGTAGTTCATTTTGGGGAGCGGTGTGGCAATGCTTCTTGCAAAACCTGAAGCTTGACACTAGAAGAAAAAAAAAAAAAAGAAAAAGAAAAAAAAAAAAAAACAAAAAAACTGCAGGAGTCAGAAACAAAAATGCCCTCAAAGCTCCCGACACCATTCCTGCACGAAAACCTCAAGCTGTTTTCACTGATTTTTACAAACATAGGGCCAGTTCTGCAGGTTTTCTGCGTAGCGCAAGGTGTAAAGCCTCCTAGCTGCCTGTCGCTGCTGGGGGCAGAGATTCACATCCCTGCTGGGGCTGTGCGGAGAAAGACGGTTAGGAAAAGATGCCCGAGGGGAAGGATTTGGGTTCCCACGCGCAGACACAACGAGTGAAGATCTCCTCTGGCCAGCAGCATTGGTGACCCCGGGACACAGAGTTTTGGCAGCTGCTCGCCCTGGCAGGGATGTCTGTGGCTGGGTAGGTGGTCACCGCCCAGATTTTAGGGTTTGGGTTTGTTCGGGTAATGATCGGGTGGCCAAACCTGCAGATCCGACCTTCACCCTCATGCGCCACAGCACCCCGAATTCAGGCTGCGAGGGCTGATTCCTCTCGGTGTCAGGAATAGGTGAGGCTGTTTGCTCCGAGGCTTTGACACCTGGGGAGGCTGTGGTGCTAATAATGCTGATGTCCTTTCCCTGTGAAAAGGTGCAGAGAACGATGCAGCTGAGGTCCCCCAGAGGCGACCGCGACTGCCGGATGCTTTCCAGCAGGAGGAAAGGGAGACGCTCAGGAAATGTGAGTAGGGGAAGCCACCTGCCTGGTGGCACCAGAGCCATGCCTAAAACACAGCGAGGTCTGGAGAGGGACCTGTGGTGGAAGGAGAGGCACGAGCAGGCTGCAGCTGCTCTGAGCATTGCCACGGAGGATCCACTCCCCAGACTCCCCAGGAGCAACCTCGGTGCTGCCCGAGGAGCCAGAGCACCCCAAAATGCTCCCCTCTGCCAGCAGCAACTCCTTCTTGTTGCTTGGCACTGGGCACCTTCCCCATCCAACTGCGTTTGGTAGAAATAACGGGCATTTTGTAAATCACCCCAGCTCCCAGGGGTGCCAGCCTCCGCCTGAGGCTCACCGTGGGCTGCTGGGGCTGCTTCCTTTGGAGACCTCCTCCTACAGCC